TTTGCCTCTATTCTTAATGCCGCCGAATAAATATATACACAAAACCAACACATTACATGGTCTTCAAATGCTTGGAACTAAGGACCATTACGATGTAATGCATTTCGAATATTGCGTGTCAAGTGTTTCAGATCAGTGAAGACAGTAGCTATGATAGGAATGTAAGCAAGCGTTTTGTTCATATCCAAATCACCATCAATGTATACTTGTAATAATAAGCCTGCATCTTCCAAAGATTGAGTGATTTGGTTTAACACTTCAATTAAAATCGCATGTTCCATTTGCCTTGAAGATTTTTCAAAGTTGCCTGGATTAAGTGTTTTGATGGTTTTAGTTTCATGATTCTTCGCAACTCTAGCTTTTTGAACTATGTGAAATGCGATAATTAGCTTATGAGAATAATCTAGCAATAAAAATCTGAAATTAATTACAAATTGAATCTAAAGTATGGCTTCGTAAATTGCTAATTACTTTTGCGAATGATCGTGAAATCATATGATGGTAAAATTTGGTATATTTTATATGTCATTTAAAGTTTTTTGGAGCTTTTCGTCAGCTTTTTTTATATTTAAGTTAGGATTTAGAGTTATAATTATTAATAAAAGAGTATAGCTAAGTTTGATAAAGCTTATATTTTCAAATTGAGACCTTAAATTTCACTATCATCTGATTTTACAATTATTCACAACAAGTAACTAATGTTATTTTAAAAATAATTTGCTGACAAAGATTAGTTCTGCTTTATATATATAATCGAATACAGATACCAAATCATTTGAAAGTATTTATAGAAAGGAATATGATATGTATTATAAATTTATCATTTTATATAAGTTTGCTTAAATAATTCGCACTATAATCATTTTGTTGTATGTGCACTTGAATTTTACTGATCCTTTTTTACTTCTGCTTTGATGATACTAACAAATTTTGATTTTCTACCTCTAGATCTTAATCTTGAAAGCTTGATTCCATAGAAGAATTTGAGCCAAGCTATTAATTATACGTACCACAATGCCGCATCTCATATAACACAAATTTAAGAAATTATTTTATAATAATAATTGTTATATGTCATAATAAGTATTATATGCAATAATAATTACTACATGTAATAATAGTTACTATCTGTAATAATAATTACTACATGTAATAATAACTACTGTATATAATAAAATATTATTACTACATACGTACTTGTAATAATATTTACTACATATATTGAATATTATTACAATTACTACTTTTGTAGTAAATAATTACTACATTATTATTTGAATTACGACGCCATACTTTAATTAAATCAAAATTATGAATGAATTAACATACTTTGTGATATATCTTGATATATAAATTCATTACTAGCTTGGTTTGCATTCAGTATATGAGACCAAAAACAATCAAATCCTACAGTTAAAGTTTTTTACCCTGTACTTTTGTATATTCAATACATTTTTCTAATGTACTTGCTGCACTAGATTTTGCATTATCTATAATGGGGGTAAAATACATTTTTTTATAACAATAGTATGTATTTTTCTATATTCGATTTGTAACTCCAATTGTAGCCAATATACTTTGTATTGCATTGTGAGATGTTCTTTCCGCAAGTCCTGCAGCGGCTACAGCTTTTGTGAACTGGATTTCTTGAGCCTCATTTGTATGTTCACAGATGGTTTTGCATTTTTACACTCTATTGTACTTTTAATCTAAAATCCGATTGGAGTTATATTTAAATTTTTATTCGTAAGGCTATTGTCACCGCAACCAGGACAGGGCTGCTTAAAGATTAACAAAAGGTATTGTTTCGTAGAAACTAGTAACATGGAACTAAGTTGAGCAGATTCAATTGCATTATTAATACTAATTTCTAACAAATTAGATTCATCTAAATTTGTAGTTTTTTCTTCTAATTTGCTTTCTATTTCTTCTATGTATTTTTTTAGATAAGTTATTTTTCAATTCAGGCTATAGATTCGGTTTTTGCTTCTTTCATATTCTATCATCAAGGTTTGAGTATCTTCCGGTGTTAAAACTTTACCACTTTTTTCTAAAAGTATGTTATGTTCTACTAGAATTTCTGTTGATATTATATCATCTAATTTTACATCTATTTCTCTGCTCTTTCTTTTTAAACTTATTCGCAATTGGGTTTCAGTCTCCATTTGTAGGTCAGGATAAATATTCAAATAATGTACCTTAATAGTTGCTTTTAATTTTGCAATATTTTCTACTTCTAAGAATCTAAGTAGATAAAATAAAGAGCGTGAACCATGGGGATCGTACTTTTCCATCACCAATTTAAAAAGACGATAGTCATGCCTGTCCTCAAATGGTTGTGTGAAGTCAGAATTAAGTTCATAACAGTACTACTGGAATCTGAGATAGTAGTCTTCAAATAGAATACTAAATTTCTAAATTCTTTTTGCCATTCGGAAGAAAACTGAATACTCAGGTAACAGAAAGATCCAATCCTCTTTGTCAGCACTGAGTTTATAATGATAATACCTGGCAAGTGATGACGTATTCTTTTTTAATGAGATTCCACTGCGATGTCTATACAAAAGCATAACATCTAAACTTGGGTAAATTTCTCTAACAAGCCACCCATCTTTTTTATTTTCCATCAAGGATTTATTATCTGGCATTGCGAAAATACAGGTTTTGTACTACTTAGATATTTTTATGTTTTTATATTTCTATATTCAAAAAAAACTTGTCAACGTTTTTACAATATTTTATTGTATTGAATGTTGTAGACTTGTTCAATTTCTTCTATAATAGACTGTAAAACTCCGAGTATTAATAAAATTAGTTGATAATCATTTAACTCATAGGTAATTTGTCGATTATAGTTTATCTATTTTGTAGATCATTATTATCACGATATTGTAACCGTTAATAGAGAGCGAATAACAACTATAGTGAACAAGCTGATTTAACTCTAACGGTATACGAGAGAATAATTATGAACTTTGAGCAAACGAAATAGGTCTTTTATAACTAATAAAGAACTAATTGGATAATACGATGCTATGAGACATATACTTAAATATCAATAGGTGATGATGATGGAGTGATCAATAACAGTTGATGCTGTTAAGAGTGATAGTGTAATGGATTATCAAGGATGTTCTACTATAGTTTTTGCAAGTGTATTGTAAATGGCAATATTTAATTTTACGAGTATACCAGAATTTGAGTCTTAGTAAGTCAAATCGAAATTACAAGCCAATTCAGTCCGTCAAATTGAGTTTTGAAAAGGTTTATCAAAGTTACAAGTCAAATTCAAAGATAATTCTCATGAGAAAATTCAGACAGATGGATATTTTATTATTTATTGGTATTTAACTGTAGACCGAAGAACTGTCCTTTATTGAATTTAAGGTGTTTATATACAAATTAATTCTTTAGGATGTTTACAAGAATCTGAATAATATTAACAGAGGTTATATTGCTGCAGTTTTTTTTAAATTTTAACTGATTTTAATCACTTTTCACATAACCTCTGTTAGTATTATTTGGGTCCTATATCTACGCTACATCTTTAAGGTTTACACTGAAATTTTAATGTATTCATAAAGATTTCAACATATTTTATTAAAATCACGTAAACATTATAGAATTTTAAGACGCGTGTAGATTTTGATATATCAATGCATCTAATTTTCTACTATCAATTACCATTTATAGTTTTCAACTTTCACTATGAAATCGGTTACTGTTACTAAAATAGAATTAGAAATGTACAATTGCCTTATTTACTAATCTGTATGACTAATACGTAGATACGAAATAAAAACAAATATGAAAGAAAATATATGAAAGAAAATATATGATATAATAATTCGCGATCCATCCGTTACAATATATAGATTTAGTATAGGTCACAACTGCGTGATTATCAATTGATGAGAGTGAACAAAGGTCTGTACTGCAGTATGAATTCGGACAGGTATATGAAATTATGCTAGTATGTACAGTTCTTTTTGTTTGATTATAGTAAAATATTTTTAAGGGTTTTTTCTTTTATAAATTGTATATTCGCACTGTACCATTTTTTTTATATACTTATTGTCAATCATGAAATTATCTATTGAAAGAAATTTTGATTTTGCTTTATCTATTCAAAATTTTTTTATTAAAACCGTTTCATAATAAATATTTATAAAGTCTTTAGCAAATGACTATAAGATTAATAAAAATTGCTATTATTACTACAGTATATTAAAATAAAATTAACTCTTGATATAAGAAACCTTTGATATAAAAAACTCTCGGTATAAGAAAGAATTTGTAAATCCCAAATAATAAAAAGCTATCGATATAAGATCTCGATATAAGAACAATTTTGGTCGTACCGATACTTTCTTATATCAAGAGTCATTTGTAAATATAAAATTTGGTGATGCAAAGAGAAAACCAGGCTTTAATTATCAAAATTTATATGATCAAAGATTGGTTTTCCTTTGATGTCAATCATTTATGAAAAAATTATAATAGGGTTAGCTTATTGTGTTTAGTATTTAGTTTTATTTTATTAAACGGCAAAAATTACAAATTGTACATACAAATTAATTTTTTTCTAATGCATTAGATTTTCTCTTTAACGATGAAAGTGGTGGTGGTGATAAAAGTGGTGGTGGTGCTGGTAATAAAAATCACTGTGATAACGGAACAGTAGATGTTGACATATATGATGACTCTGAAATAGTAGACTCTATTTTTGTAGAATCATCAGTATTATACAATATGTTACGCATAGTGCAAACTATTGCTGTTCTAAAAGTAAGCAAGCTATGAATTAGAGAATAAACATCCTCCAGGCTTGTTGATAGAATATTCAAAGGAATTTTCACTTGACTAAGTAATAAAATTCTATATACACCAAATTCTTTGTACATAGAGCGAAATTCTACAACATCCCTAGTAATGTTGATTATAAATATTGATATGTAACTTAATGCTATTTTTTCAAAATTTCTTTTGTTTTTTACTAACTAAACTTCATTAATCAAATCTTTGCCAAATCTATTAAGTTTTTTATAATCCTGTTTTTGTTTTTTAGATGATGATTTCGGACGACCCATTTCAAGGTATCTAATCTCAACTTCTTTAGCACTTACTTGAGCAATAACCATATAATCAGGACGTTTTGCCTGTTTACCTGATTCCTTTCTTTCTGCACTAGCTAAACTTGCCTTTTCTCCCCTATATTATTTAAAATTATATTAGTATTTTAAATAATAAGAATAATCAAAACAATTATATATACTATGTTCCCTATATATTAAAATTTATTGGCAGGTTACTTATTATGATATTTATTAATGGCGATAAAACATCTGGCACATAAGATTCCTCATTTATAGATGATAATTTGTTACCTATACATACTTTCCACTTAGGTGAACTCCAAACCTGACTTAGCACTTTTAACATTTGATTTGTTAGCTCATGCAATTTCTCAGGTTCATCTAAAAATTCATCGAATGACGCGTCTTTATATACTTGAGGAGATTTAAGACACTTCTTGTTCTTCTTAAATGAAATTATCATAGATATTCTTTACCACGAAATTTTCGGGTAATTTAAATTTCTCACTTGGTATTTTGAAGGTCTGTCGTGATTTCTCGCTCATTTTCTTTAATAGTTTCAAACTATTATCGAGAATTCCAGAGCATAATGGATGGTCATATTCCAACCCCGCCACATTTATGTCACCTAATTTTTTTTCTATTTCTTCCTATATGCTTTTTTTGTCTCCTGATGTGCTCAATGCAAACTAATTACACGTTGTTAGCCTATTGATTGAATTCTTTAAGCGAGTTAATTGCTTTTATGCAAATACAAACCTAATGTATATTATTTTTTAAATTATCAAAGTTTCTTGTCATATTGACCACCCAAGGTGTTTCTACATCCTATTAATATGTAGAAAATTTTAATTATGATTAAGCCTTTAAAATTTCACTTAGTAATGCAAACGGCTTGAGCTGAGCCGTGAGCCAAATGGCTAAGCTAAGTATATATGGGTGCCGAAATTGGCCATCTTAATAAAAAAGTAATTATAGCATTTAGGCAGCCGAAATTAGTCTTATGTAGTGCCGAAATTATTTTTCATATTGGCTGAAATTATTGCCGAAATTTTCTGAACTCTTTTTATCAAAATACATCATATAATATAGTTATTTCGAAGGGCTTCATATAAAAAATTTAGTAATGCCAAAATATTTACCAAAACTACGATTTTTCAAAAATAATTTCGGCTCCCATGTATAAAGCTAAGTCATTTAACAGCTTAGCTTCGAATTTACTAATAAAGTATTGGCACTAAAAATAACTCAGCTCAAACTCTGAGCCAACCTTAGAGCTGTGATCTAGCAGAAAGTAAATTCCCAGTATAGCTAATGTTAAATTTTTAAAAAAATAGAATCGACCATCTAAGAGCACTGTTTGGCTTAGACCAAATTAATTAGAGTAACGGCTTGGCTCTGATCTGCAAAGCAGAAGAATCAGCTCAGTTTAATTAAAATTAGTTGTGAGTCAAGTCGAGCCAGCAGTTTGCATCACCAACTTCACGGACTAAGTATATACTGAAAAAATATTCAATTCTAATGAAGAACGAATATATTCAAACGCATCCGATATCTAAAATAAATAAATAAACAAATTAGCAAAAAGAAAAAGTAATTATGCAATAATAAACCCAGGTATATGCGATCAGATTGGTTTTCTTTTTCATATGAATTTCAAGTTAAGCTGGCTAGTGATAAAATATACCTTTGAAGAATCAGCATATGGTATTTTATGCATATAAATAGCTACTCCCGATATCTTCTCAAAATTACTAGAAAAGCCAAAGTACATTCACTATTTATACACTACCTTATATGCCATTTATATCAGTAATTGGAAGTTGTAGAAAAATTTGATCCCTATCCCTATCCCTTAAGTTATTATATATATATATATATATATTATTTCTACAACTTCTAGAAAAAAACCAATCTTTTCATCATATCGAATAGATTTTATTCTAAATAAATCGTAACTATAACTTACGCGTAATTCTAAAAATTTATCTTTCTTAAAGCTATGCAACTTTTCCAACCTCTCATCATCTTTTGCATCTTTTACATGTTTTATTGCTGTGTTGAGCGTCTTCTTGAAGTTCTTCAATTCAATCTCTTTATCATCCTTCCACTCATTTGTCTCAACTTACTTATATAAAGCAGTAAAAATAGTGATAGCAGAAATAGAAGTAGAGGAAACAAGAAAAGATTTCATTTTTAATTCACGAAATAAAAAAGTGTTATTAGAATTTGCTAAAAGTGTAATTACTAAAATAAAAGAAAGAAAGAAAGAACAAATAATCATAACATCTCTTTTTAAATGACCAATATATACTTCTACGCCAAATTCACATGCTGAATATGATTATGGATTTATTTAGCACCTACATACCAGTCACAGAACATGTCCTTATCATTGCAGTTACTTATAAGTCAAATGAAGTGACGTACTAAATTTTATATGTAAATTTTTACAAAA